GTCCTGTAAACCCAAGCAACTCATGCCTATCACTCTAACCATAGTGGTTTGTTCTTGTTCTGTACTGTATTTGCTTGATAGTATAGATAGATTGAGTTTTTGTTTTTATTAAAAAATAAAACCCTATATTAAGGTATGGAGTGGTATGTTACAATCAGATCACTGCATTTGGTTATGTATCTTGCACCAATCAGATCTATGCAGTGGGGTATGTTTCATGCACCAATCAGATGGCCGCAATAGGATATATATCTCACACCAATCACATTAAAGCATTGAGGGATGTTTGCACCAATCAAATGTCACGGTGTTGTCCTTCATGTCAATGAGGTCATGGAATTAGGGTGTCGCAAAGTGTTGCAGTAGAACCAACTCAACATTGATGCACACTAAGAATGACAACAACAAAGAATTGTGAGCTCATCTATCCAGTAAATGGAAAACATGACTTGCATGTCTTTTATTTCAGGACTGCGGAGTCTTACTGTGGGTTTAAGTGTCCATTGTAGTAGTTCAGAACCAGGAAGGGAAAGGACAAAAGAACTAAAGAAGAAGATGAAGTCGTAAGTTCTTTAATTAAAGTAAATTCAAAGAAAAAATTAACAGCTCTCGTAGCTTTATTGGGTAGAAGACGGTAAAAACAAAGAAAACATATAATGATATTACATGACTCCTTTAGCTTTATTGTGCTACAAACACAATTGGCTTTCTTTTTCAGCTCTCGAAATAAACAGGTCATTCTTGATTCTTTTTGAAGTGAATATGTTGGTCACTATGTTGGTTCCAAATAATGAATTTTCATCAGCAGTTCACACATATGATTTTCACATACTCACTGTCACTTCACAGGTTTATTTGGGACCAACATAGTGACCAGCTCCCAATTGGCTTGATAGCTCAGTTGATCATGGGTTTATGGGTTGAAATCCCATACAGGGCTGATTTTTTTTTTCAGGCCTTATTTTCACTACTGCTCAAGTAGTGTTCATTACTGTGAAGATTGCTTTCATATTTATGTCTTTGTCTGCAGTTCATATATATGATTTTCATATATTCACAGTCATTAATAAATCCTTCATTGACCAATCTTGTCCAGTCAAGATGGCTGGAAATTAGCCTTGTTCCTTTTTTTGGACCTTGACCTTGACTTTGTCCTTGATAGAACTTGGCAAATATTCAGCCATGTTGACCTCATGTTTAGTCAATAATGCCAATATAAGAGAGACTGACCTTTATCACAGTAAGCATGCAAACATTTCAACATGTTCTTTCGCTGGGAGCACATCAACTAATCCTACACAGTGCAGAATGTTGAACAATTGAAAATAAAATGTGCCAGTTAGCAAATGATTGCAAATGCTTGATTTTGAAAAGTTTCTGCCATGTTTTTTCTTTATCAGTCTTGAAAATTGACTTTTGCTTACTTACTTATACTAGATTCCACAGAAAATCTTTGCATTACCTATACCAAAAGCATTTATTTTACATTTTTTCAGGGCCAAAGACCAAGTAAAAGAGAGAATAGATACACTATCTGCCAGCATTAATGCACCATCGGCCCCCAGTGGAGATGTGGTGGATACTGTAAATCAAAATGGACATCTTACAACTGAAGACCAACTTGAGATATTATCACATGATGATGGAAATCCATGGGAAGATGTCAAGGAATTATTGGTTCTGGAAGACAGTAAGTACATGTTAGTAGTATGTGACACTGTAAATTGAAAGTGCTTTCCAAGATGATTTTTTAACTGTCATGACTGTGCAGACTTGAGAGAAAAAGGCAGAAATTGATTTCAATCTAGATTCAATTGTTTAGCGTAAAAGTGAACAGATGTGTCTCATTCACTGAAAACTTTTCTTTTCAACACAGGTGTCAAAATGTTTTTCGTCAGTGAACAAGGAGGTGTCACAACACTCTCTCAACCTCAAACTCTACGTGCCTTTCAGTTTGTCAATCATAAACCAGGTAAATCTAAGTTTAAACATAATGCATAATACATGTCATCATAGTATGACAAATGCTTTCAGTGTCACTGAGCAGAGATATAACACTACATACTTCAGCAATGTAGTTTCACACTTATCACAGTGATGTCCTTTTTCAGAACAGGTTAATGGGTGGAAATCTCACAAGGAGTGATCCTGTGGTCCTCCAGGGTTTTGTTAAAATTTTAATTGCTGAGGCATCCTTATCATAGTAGCCAGGTCAAGTTAATTTAACCTAGAAGTGAACTCCATGATATCCACCAAGCAGAGGTTCTACAGTAAATAAACAGTTCATGAAGAAAACAGAACTGTCTTGAAGCATGGCTCAAGAACCAACCTCTCCACCCCCACTTCCCCAACAATCTGGAGATACAAATGGCTTCCATTGCCTGAATTTTATCTTTGCCCAAGTTTCATTTCACCTCGTAAGACATTTGTTGACTTAAATTCAGGTTTTTTTTGTTTATGGTGCATGCTTTAAATCCTTTCACTGCCTCGCTGTTGATACCATTTGTGATGTATAATTACCTTCTCTGCCGTTATCAGATACTAGAAATTTACCTGGTAATTTTGTGTTATCAACTGAGTTGATAATGTAAATTGGCCACCGTTAAGAGTTTGTAAGCTGACGTTTCGAGCGTTAGCCCTTCGCAATTTGCTCTGACGAAGGTCTAACGCTCGAAACGTCAGCTTTTAAACTTTTTTGGGTGGCAAATTTAAGTTATCAACTTAAAGTTGATAATACCAAATTACCCTGTTGTACTCTCCCACCGACGCAGCATCACAGTTTCTTTAGAAACTTGCCCCCTTCATTGAATTTTTCCGGTAAATTTTATAGCTTATAATGACTTGCACTATTCTTTCTCGTTTATATCGTATTGCAGAATCAAAGGATGCTCCCGCATTCCTTCATTGCGGAGCCTGGATGTTTCCCATGATTCCTGGTAGATCTCCTGTTCTGAACACGGAACCTCACACGTATATGTTTCCCGACATCAATATCGACCCTTCTTCTCCCCAATCCTCGCAGCCTCGTCCCCAGCGGGCATTTGCGTCAGTGGGTTTGATTCTGAACCCTAATATTTCCTCTATGGAACTAAAGAGGTTTGAGAGGATTTTGAAGTGTTACGCAGATTTCCATCACTACACTCCGCCAAAGTATTCTGAAGAGGGAAGCCAGGTCGAGCAACAAAGAACGGATGAAGGTGCCTCTTCAGTGCCGGCTGCCGAGGCAGAAGCTATGGATGAGGATGTTGCTGTGGCAGTAAGACCGAGCACTGAGGTTGTACCAGCTGATTCACAGGTGTTTACTATGCATTACTAACTCTGTTCACAAATAATTTGCTGTAGGATTTTCCGTTCTCATACCACGCTAGTTGTGGTGATTTCACATTGTTGTTTTGCAGAGGACGGCTTAGAATTGTACAAGGTTTCAACATGCATGTACTGAGCTGTTATTCCACCCATCAGATCTTCTATTTTGCTATGGCATCGTCGCCATTGTCGTTGTGGCTTGCTTAAGGTCCCTTATGTGATGCTGTACACTTGAGGCTTAACGTATTTTCTTTTTTTGTGTGTGTGTGTGTGTTATTTGCTTTTTCAGGACAAGTCATGGGGAAGGAAGGTTTCTAAGGTAAGACGAAATTCTGTTAAGGCATATTCCACTACTAATCAACTTTTAGCATCATCTGGTTTAAACGACGAGAGCATTATCAATGCGGTCATGTTTCCTTCAGATGTCATGTTTTTTTTTGTTATTTCAGGGAATCGAGATTGGCACAGAGCTGGTAGCTTGGGGATTGACAAAAGGGGCTGAAGTCGGAAGTCATCTGATGCACAAGGTAGTGCTGTGTGTCTCATCACATTTCTTTACTCATGTCGCTGTATACAAGGCCAGAAAGCAGGCTCAGCTGCATTTTGCTTCGGAGAAGTTCTTTGGTGTTGTCAGACGTCACGCACTATTAATTAAAAAACAGCTGCACCGGAGATTGTCGTAGCTCAGCATTACCTTTGTTTTCCTGGTGCCCAGCTCGGATTTTGAATATCATATCAACTATAAATTCATGAATCACATTTCATGAAAGCTGTTATCAACAGCCAAATTTACTGAGTTATATCTTCAATTACGTCAGGGTTCTGCCAAACTCAGAGAAAATCTCAAACCAAACGAGAAGCCAGTAGAAGTTGATGAAAGTGTGCAGGAGAACATTCGTCAGGTGAAGACTGTTGCAGGTAAGACATCATTTTAAGCTTTTAAGCTTCCCGCTCTGCAACGGCTCAATCATCTTACAGTTGGACTTTCCCGTTATGATGAAAGAATGCGTTTGGTTTGGCCATACACATGACAGCAAAACGAATTAAAAATCAGGCAAGATAGTGATGTATGTGTTTTTGTTGTTCAGGCATGGCCTGTCAGGTGAGCGGTGCAGTGGTCTCTGCAGTGTCAGCCATGACGCTCGAGCTCGGACGACGACTTGCGCCAGTTATTGTGGATAAAGGAGGAAAGGTTTGTTAAATTTCTTTTATTGGTGATCATTTTCTCTATTCTCCTGACCTTAATGAGTGATTCAGGGTTGATATTGTAAGGAGAATAAGGATGCTAGTCACTCGTTGGGGTCAGAGGGCTAACAAATCGAAGAGAAACAAATGAATTTGAATTTGTCTCGAGAGTGTTGAAAATGGCTCTTTGCAATTTAACGTCTAACATTTGCGAGAACGTAATTGGGGAATATTCTGCGTTTAATGTATAATTGACCACGGTTGAACATCTGATATTTTTCGTGTTAGGCTTTACCAGACTCTTTGAAAAAGAAGGATAATGTTGATGGTGCATCGACAATGGACGAAATCGTTAAAGTTGCAGTAAGCGGCGCTAGAGGTATACATGTTCAATTCATCAAGCGTTGGATGTTTTCCTTGAGTAGCATAGTGTTATAACGTAAGACGTGTAAATCAAGTGAGGCCAGGTATGCTGCGATAATTTAGTTTTCCGAGCTTTCGCTGATCAACGGCATCTTCGGCATCATCAGGGAATCATTCTCTGATGATGCTGTAGATCGGCGAAAGCTCGGAAAACTAAATTATTATAGCATACCTGGCCTCAATTGATTTACACGTATGATTTTATGTTAAATTCGGTTGAACAAAAATGTCTCATTTTAAACTGAGCTTTTTGTGCGAAAGGCCGGGGATTTATTTTAATTGTGCGAATAATTTCTTTTCCAACTTAAGGAAGAGTTCCTTCATGGAGTTTTTCCTCTCTTTTTCTGTTTCTAGATATAATAATGGTAATAATGAAAACAAATAAATAGAAAGAAAGAAGGAAACCAGCTTGATACACCAGGTTGACTGTAAACGATCTGATGTTTAGAACTTAAAATTTCCAACAGAGTCAGTTGTTTTTTGAAATTTTGTTTTGATTCTTATTCTCAAAGGTGCTGCTACGGTGTACCAAGGTCTTGAGACTTCATGGAAAATTTTGTACACAAATCTGCAGCATGCTACTGTCAAGACAGTAGATTACAAGTGAGCTGGTGCATGTTATGGCTATGAAGTTTGAGAACACCTAATGTTATTCCCGTTTGGTTCTTTTTCTCCTTGTTTTCTTTTTTTTCTTTTTTTTTCCTAGTTATCCTCCTTCCCATGCGCGTTCGTCGTCGTTTGTTCGTGAATTTGATCTTACTTTTTATTGGTTATTTTATTGGTTGGATGGTTGGATGGTTGGTTCGCTGTCTCGTTTTATCTCTTTGCCTCTAGTTTCTAAATAAACGACTGTGAATATATGAAAGTTATATATTTGAACTGCCGATAAAGACGTGAATATGAAAGTGATCTTCGCAGTAATGAACACTACTCGAGCAGTAGTGAAAATAAGGCCTGAAAAAAAATTTAATATTCACGTAGTTTCTTAATGTTGTTTTTTTATGTTTATTTGTTTTGTCTATTTGTTTGTCTGTTGCTTGGTGTATTATTAGGTGTGTTCGTGTATTCACTTGTCTCTTCGCCCGTTTATATTTTTCCATTAAATCCACAGATATGGCCGAGCAGTTGGTGAAGCTACAAATAATGCTATGGGCGCTGCAGGGTTTGCTTTACAGGTAACCTTAGACGACGTCCTAAACAGCAATTTTACCAAGTAAACTATATAAGATGGTTATTTTCACTCATGTTAAGTTTTTTTTTCATAACTGTTTACCTCTCCCACTTTATAGGATCTCTCATTTGTCATTTAAGTAAAAATGACAAACTGAGTCTAGTTGAGATAGTTCAGTGTATCACAGTCCCCATCCCAGCGGTTCTCTGGTGTGTCACGCAACGCTCTTATTTTGTTTGTAGGAGCTTTGCATGACATCCCAAAGAACAGCTACGAAGGAGAAGTCGTTGTATCATTATGTCCTTATATTTGTATTTCGTTCATTTACTTACACTTGTTTGCTTTTTTCTGTTTTCTCACGTAGACTTGCTGGAATGTGGAAAATTTGGGAATCAAGTGAGTATTTATTAGACAACGAACAGTCCTTCTTTTTCAGCTAATCCGCTGCGCTAGTTCAATTAAATTAGTGAAAAACAAATTGATTTTGGAGCGCCGTGCGGAAATCGGGAACGAGGCGCACGAAAGCCTACTTTTCGTGCGTCTCACGCTCACAGTTCCGCACGGCGCGCGAACATCATTTTTTTTTTCACGAATGCGTTTGTTTTTACTCGCGCGACAGAATTTACCCAAAAGGAGAAGCTGCACGTAATCTAGTATTTGTGTGATTAAAATGAATTTTTTACATGGCTGTTCTCAGCTGTTTTATCCTTATCAACCCGAGATTGAACGCGGCTTCCCAAACAAGAGGCGCTGACCCGTGACTTGACTCTTTCGTAGTTGTTGCTCTTCTTTGTTTAAATGCCAACCCATGGTGGAGTTAAGAGCGCTGGTGGTGTTTCTTGAATCCTCCGAAGAAAACGAATGTCGTTGAATGAGGACGATCAACTGGAACAAGTGACAAACAAATGAAAAAGGACTAATTATTTCCTCTGTAATTATTTTTCAGGGCTATTGCCAAGAGAACTGCCAAAGATACCGGGAAAGAGATGGTTAAAGAAGCTGAGAAGAAATACGTCACAGATGGAAAGAAACAGGAATAGAACACAGTGAAAAAAAAAATTAAATTACAATTGTCTTTGAATTAGCATTTTTTCAAAAAAAACGAATATCCGTCAAATTGAAAAAAGAAATTATACCGTAGAGCAATATACACTGATGAAGGGAATGAAAAAAATCCAGTTTGAATTTCCAATCCTTAAACCTGAGATAGGCTGGTTTTCATTATAGATACTGTGTACGTATTTTTGCACCAGATAAAGACTGGCAAAGAAAATAGAAAATCTTTTGTATATAGCAAAATAATTATAACCCTAACATCCGCCAATTTTGTAACATTTTGTTTAATTTGAATAAACGCGGATTTCTTTGGTGACTACATGGCATGGTAATAAGTTTCACTACATCTAATAATGAATGAATCCTCACTCTCTAAGAGGAGACTTCAAGCAGTCTCTCCTTCACAGCCCGCCCGTTGCGTGGGTCAAAAAATTAGCGAGAAATGAAATTGATGTAGTGTACCTCTCGGAACTTTGTGAGTAAGGCGCGGTGCGCGCCAACATCAACTTTTTTTTCGCTGATTTTGATTGACTCTCATTACGGACCTCGCCGAGAGGAGGGACGCCACGTAGTTTACTGTAGGGGGAGGGGAGTGAAACAACCTTTCGTAATATGCCATTGAGTCGTCAGGACCATTCATGCGGAAAGTCCATCATTTTTGAGGAGATATTAATTTAGAGAAGAAGACACTTTTTTAATAGATAGTTTTTGACAAGAGGGAGCGTTCTTCACCTGAAAAGCTTTGTACCATTTGAGTCGTAGTTGCTGTTCGCGAAATGAGCCCGTATTTCCCTTCGGAAGGACTAAAGAGACCAGAGAGATGATGGAAATGGAGCGTATCATGGCTTTTTGTCAGAGGCAAAAATCGTTCTCCATTAGACCTGGGTGTTTTACCTTATGTCGCTCTTTTACGAAGGCTTCTGATCTATTCTTCTCGATACAAATGCAAAGCGACCTTTTGAACTAGAGCTATCAGAAAACCCCTCCACTAAGTTGCTTTTTGCTGGCCCTTTTCTTATTATTATCTGAAGTCACACTAGAAGAGAAGTGTTCAATCAATCTCAAAAAAAGTCGTTCCTACTCCGTTATCTCAGTCCCACTTAGCGTAGCCTGGTGACGAACGTGTGATATGGACCGTGAGCGATATGGCATTTAGGAGGTTTGGTTTACACCGGTGCTCGAAGTGTTCTGGTGTTTGAGCGAGAACTATCCAAGAAAATCCAAATTAATCGTAAAAACCGTAAGGGATCCTTGCTTCTTTATACTCACAAAGATGGCTGCAATGCCTCTTCAAGCTCGTCCACAGGGTATTACCTTCGATGAATATGGCAGACCATTTATAATTTTGAAAGAACAAGATAGGCAAACGAGGTTGACAGGGCTCGATGCACAGAAGGTGATTCTCGAATAATGACAGTCACATGCGTGAAATTGATTTGATTTCCACCTCGTTCATCCCATTGATTTTTTTCTTTTTTTAAATCTCTAGTCTCACATTTTGGCGGCAAAAGCTGTAGCTAATATTCTACGCACTTCTCTGGGGCCGAAAGGTATGAACACGAACATCACTTGCAGCTGTCATTCGATTCGACTGGGCTGATTTTTACATTTTGTCAAACTCCGTCAAAGAATCAAACGAACTCCTCTTCGCCATCGTCTCTTAGAGAAATGGGAAGTCCCCTAACTCAGCTGTAAATTGAACAGTGTTCTACGATGAATGCCTGGTAGTCACGCTAGTAGTAAACTCGTGTACAGTACATGTGTACTTGACTTACCCTTGTAGTTCTGGTGTATGCGCTTTGAAAATCATTTCTTTGACAATCTTCGAACTTGTTACATTTCTCGCGAACACCAGACAGTGATTTAACACAGCAATACCACTCCTGTGCTTTATGAGAGCATCAAACCACACAGATGCATGAAGCAGTTGCAATCAGTTAAGCTTTACTACTACTACTTTAATACAAGAACACTTTTTTAAAAGATAGCCTAGCTTTTTAAATTACCCACTGCTGATTCTTGTGAAATGCATATTTTGGGTGGCCTCCTCACTCAGCTAGATTCTAAAGGTATTTTTACAAAATATTGGTAAAAATGCAGCACAAAAACAACACCCCTGTAAACAAGTCAGTATACAACTTATTTGCAACTGGGTGTTGTGTTTATATGACAGCAACTTTTCTTGACTTAAATTTACAAAGGATTGTATCACAGGCAGAATGGTGACTCACTAATTTATATAGTGGGGCATACAAAGTGTTAGATATCTTCCCCCACCCTACTGTCAGACCCCTTTCCATATTTCACTGCTGAAGTGCTCTTGAATCATAGCCATGGTTGCTGAAGAGGCAACAAGCCCTAAAACACTGTCCATCTTTTAGACCGATATCAACTTTTCTCGTATAATTTCTCTCAATGAGTTATGTGATTTCATAGGCATGGACAAAATGATGGTGAGCCCAGATGGAGATGTTACAGTAACCAATGATGGTGCCACCATTTTGGACATGATGCAGGTGGAACATCAAATAGCTAAACTGATGGTTGACTTGTCAAAATCACAGGATGATGAAATTGGTGATGGAACAACAGGAGTTGTAGGTAAGAATACCAAAATTTCAAAGTGAAGGTTTCATTTGTTGTTAATCTTGTCTAGCCTGAAATACAACACTAGTACTGTCATAAATGGCAGGACTTGAAGAGTTCATTCATTAAAATTAACCCCCCCCTCACCCTAATATCATTATGCATATTCTCCATACTGTTCTCTATGTATTTCCTAAGGTGCTGACTAGGAGAATTTGTTTAACAATCCAGAGCTTTTGTAGGTGTCATATCCTTTATTCTCATGACCTTAATGTGTGAATTGGGGCTGATATTGTAAGGAGAAAAAAGGTGTAAGTCACTCTTAGGAGTCCAAAATGCTGAAAACTTTGCTTGGAAGCTTTCAAGTGCAGCTTTACCTCAGTGCCATGGTCAGAGTGTTTTAATCACAGAAAAGTGTGGTTGATTTGTTATTTTGCTTTACATCTGTCTTGATAGTTCTTGCTGGAGCTCTTCTTGAACAAGCTGAACAGCTGTTGGACTGGGGAATTCACCCTATAAGGATTGCTGATGGTTATGAGCTGGCTGCCAGAATAGCTAATGAACATCTTGACAACATTTGTGACAGCTTTCCTATTGACAAAAGCAATCCAGAATCTCTTATTCAGACTGCCATGACAACATTGGGATCTAAAATGTAAGCATGATAGTGCATATGTCAGGGTCATTTGCAGCAAAGCAAAATAATATTGTAGACACAGAAAATTTATTTTATTTTTTAACTGCCTACAATAGTATTTGTTTTCTCCTATAATAATAAACAGACTTAGCATTTAGTAAGTATTTTCAAGGGGTAAGAAATGTAACCCTCGGTAGTTTATAGACATTTTTAGATATATGTGACATACATGCAGGGTCACTCTGTAGTCTGTATAAACTGTATGGGAGATGCAATTGCTTGGTGGCCAAGTGATTAATTTGGTGAGCTCAGGATCTGCCCGTTTACGTGACTGTCTGATCATGGTAGCTCTTTTCTTTGTTTGTTTTTAGTGTAAGCAGATGTCAGAGGAAGATGGCAGAAATTGCAGTGGAAGCTGTTCTGTCTGTGGCAGACTTGGAAAGAAAAGATGTAGACTTTGAATTAATTAAGATGGAAGGGAAGGAAGGTGGAAAGCTGGAGGACACAATGTTGGTTAAAGGAGTTGTTGTGGACAAAGATATGAGCCATCCTCAAATGCCAAAGGTACATTGTGTTGCTACAAACCCAGAAACACATGATCTCCTTCATCAAAGTCGGTTACATACTCTATGTAATAGAACACTTGGGTACTTTGTGTCAATCTGAACTGTGTGTGTAAACATTTTGTAGCTGAACTTGCTTTACTGTGGTAGGGGAAGCTTGAAAACTCTCCAGAATGAGTGGAAAGATTGAACTGATTGCAACAATTGAATAACTCCAATCACAAGTTGTTATCTCCAGATAAATTGCTATATTTCTTCCACTACAACTGGAATTTACACTTAACCCAATGACCCTCACTCTGTGCTTTTTTACTCCTTGAAGTGACATTTAAACTCTCTTTACAATATCAAAACACTTCCTAGCACCAAGGGGTGTAATCCTGTAAGATCTCTGAGATCTCATTAGTAATTCTCCTTACTGTTGTTAGTTTGGAGAATTTCTTATTGGATGAACTTATAATCCCCTTATTGATATTTCTCTCTCCTCTCATCACTACTATGCTTAATATTGCATTTATGTTGTAAGGAGAAATTCTGTCTTGGTCACTTATTGCAATTAACCCTTCAACTCTCATAAGTGATTAACATTCAACTTCTCCCCATAATATCCATACATTATCCAGCAAACAGGTAATGAGAATACTCTAAATGATCAGGTAGAAGTTGCTTTCTTGATGTAACACCAAATTCTTCCTAACCAAATTGCAAGGAAATGCATAAAAGCTAGAAGGAAGAATCAACAATCACATCTTGGGAGTTAAAGGGTTAACTTATTTACAAATATGTAGCAGCTGGAGGGGAGAGTTACTAGTCAGATCTTGGGAGAAGAAAGTATGCGGTTCTGGAACTGCTCTTGTGTCTTACAGGTCATCAAAGATGCTAAACTTGCTATTTTGACCTGCCCGTTTGAGCCGCCCAAGCCAAAAACAAAGCATAAGTTGGATGTGACTTCTGTAGAAGATTATCAAAAACTGCGAGAGTATGAGAAGGAGAAATTTGAAGAAATGGTTAAACAAGTAAAGGATACAGGTGCTAACCTGGCCATATGTCAGTGGGGTTTTGATGATGAAGCTAACCATCTTTTACTGCAAAATGAGCTGCCTGCTGTCAGATGGGTTGGAGGACCTGAAATAGAGGTAATTATTTTGTTCTGTGCAGTGCTGCTTGATCCTAGTTACAGCTTCTGTAGGGAGCTGGAAATTTCCAACAATGTGGCTATCCACATACAAGGAGTGAGAGGGGGGAAGTCAGACATAATATCAGAGCACATTATGACCAACTAAGCCACAAACTTAAAAGGATAATTTGGTATTATCAAATGAGTGTTAGCCCTTCATCAGAGTGGATGAATGGTTAATGAGGGGCTGATGAGGGGCTAACACTTGAAACTCGGCTTTTTAGACTCTAACTGGTGGCCAATTTACATTATCAAAATCAGTTAAATTAATACCAAATTACCTTGTTATACTCTCCCATCAACACAGCACCACAGTTTCTTTATAAACTTTCCTACTTTATTCATAAGCCACAAACTTGCTGCCTTAGCATGTTGGAAACCAACACAAAGCTTGTGTCATAGATACCCATCACTTATCACAACACCACAATTCACTGTTGCATTTAAATTACATCTGATTGAATAGATCATCGTCATTTGCCTTTCCTTGCAATTGTGAACCCTTTACACCCTTTCATCAGTATACATATTCTCCATACTGTTCTGGATACATTTTTTGTGGTACTGACAATGAGAATTTGTTAAACAATCAAGAGCTTCCTAAGTTGATGATAATTTCCTTAATTCTGAGGACTTCTATGTTTACTGTGATACTGAAAGGGGAAATTAGAAACCAGTCACTCTTAGGAGTGAAAGGGTTGACACACTCTTCAGGTGGTGTACAGCAGAATAAGGCAATGCATCACCTGTTTATCTGATGCACATAGCCTCACCATTTTGTTGCGATATTCAATGTCTCCTTCCAAGTTGCAAGTTAGATTTTCCCTCAGTTACATCTTCTTGAAGGTTAACTTGCATCATGTCTAGGACTTAGCTTACTTATGTCTTAGTGGATAGAGCATGAAAACATATTTGTAGGTCAACAATGATTGCTACAAACTATTCTGATTTCTCTCCTCAGCTTATTGCAATTGCAACTGGCGGAAGAATAGTTCCCAGATTTTCAGAACTGACAGCAGATAAACTTGGCAAAGCTGGCCTGGTGAAAGAGCTCAGTTTTGGAACAACCAAAGATAGGATGTTAGTTATTGAAGAATGCCTCAACTCACGAGCTGTTACAATCTTCATCCGTGGAGGAAACAAAATGGTACAGTAATGTTTTCTAATGTTGGAATGCCCATGCTTGTAAATGTATCCCTTTTTGGTACTGTGAAGTCAATTTTTTACTTTGTCGGCAAGCGTGACACGTAATAAATAACATTAAACAATGCATGTGTTATGCTCACTAACAAGTTAATGGGAATCAGTTTAGACTGAATTTTTTTTCTTGTTACAGATCATTGCTGAGGCCAAAAGAAGCATGCATGATGCCCTGTGTGTTGTCAGGAATCTTGTGCGAGATAACCGTGTTGTGTATGGTGGAGGTGCAACAGAGCTTGCATGCTCCTTAGCTGTCACCAAAGAGGCAGACAAAGTAAGGGGCTCAGAGTAGCTTTTAATAGATGGGTTAGAAGGAGTTAAGACAAAACAGTAGCCTTTGAATTACAGCTGTGGCACCTGCCCTGTGGGTACATAACTATTATACTGTCAAGTTTATTGCACAATTGTTAACCCTTAACACTCTATTAAACATCAGCACACATACTCTCCTTACTGTTCTGCATACATTTCCTATGGTGCTGACATGGAGAATAGTCCATTTTACAGTTGCGTGCTTGATTGCCAAGCCTTTGAACAGGAGTGAGGCTAAGGATGACCTTGTTATGATGCAAACGTTGCTGCTTTTCAAATGTAAATTACTTTGTTAGAATGCTATCTAGATACTGTTCTCTATCACAACAAGGTCACCTTCAGCCTCACTCCAAATCAAAGGCATGGCAACTGAATACACAACTGTTAAAATGACCAGTTCATTGAACATTATCAAGAGCTTCTGAACTTGGTGATCATTTCCTTTATTCTCCTGACCTTAATTTGTTTGCTTCAGGGGGGATACTGTCTAGAGCGATTAGATCCTGGGCACTCCCAGTGGTCAAAGGGATAATGTTAAACTGTTGTTTCCTTAGATATCCACGCTTGAGCAGTATGCCATGAGAGCATTCAGCGATGCCTTAGAAGCCATACCTCTTGCACTGGCAGAGAATTCAGGCCTGAACCCAATTCAAACTGTAGCCAGTATTAAATCCAGACAAGTCGCTGAAGGCAATCCTAGACTTGGTGTTGACTGCATGGATGCTGGAATTAATGGTAGGTAGCTTTTTTTAATCCAACTAGATTCGCCACTGTCGTTGCAAAATGGCCTTTCCTCTCCCCTATTGTAAAGGGTCTGCGCAGGGAAAGTAATTACGTATACATGTAATAGCAATCATGCGATTGTCTCAACAACGAATTTTGTTTCAAACCAAATCTATAGAAAGGAAGAGAAAACTAAGTGTATTTATCAATTATTCGCCGAAGGTGAAGCAAACATTTAAATCATCCCCGGCACGAAGTCGAGGGATTATTCAGCAATGTTCAATAGTATAATTGCTTAGGTGTTTGACTCATATTCTTTTGTAAATTCTACAAATAAAGAAAGCATTTTGCATACTTTGTTACAATTGGGGTGATTACCCATATCAATATAAACAAGGAGTCTCAACAAGTTAATTAAATTCAATCAGTTAAAAATTCATATCTTTCTTTTGAAGTGTCTCGCCAAACTCAGTGTTCTCTTCGTAATTGAATGTTCTTTTATAGTGATTAACGCTGTTTTGAAATTTAGCGTCCCTGCCATAATCACCTCGCGCGAGGTGATTATAGCGAGATATAAGGCAATCCTCGACCAATCAGAGCGCACGCATTTCTTTAATTACCTGAGTAACTATACTATAGATAATTAGACTGGTTTGACTAATGTAATTAACTCACAATTATGCTGACACATTCCCGGTCTTAAACTCTTTTCGTAGATATGAAAGAACAACACGTCATTGAAACGCTAATTGGAAAGAAACAGCAAATAAGTCTAGCCACCCAACTTGTAAAGATGATCCTTAAAATCGACGATATCAGGACGCAAGGAGAATCGTGACACCCTGACTTGGCTAGCTTGCGTGACATCTGAGTGTGACATACGATTGGTGGGCAAGAATCACACTGGTGTGTTGCCTACGCCAGTTATTCATGGACTCTATGTTTGAACAAAAGTTGTCAGGCGAAGTTTCTTTACAGATAGTGTTGAACATTCTAGTTAATTAAATGTTCAAGAAATCGTCTTTTAAGCCGGCGAAAGAACCAAAGAACAGTCTTAATTCGACGAAGATCGAGAGAAATGTATCACATTGGTGAATAAAATTGTAAACAGAGCGCACAAATGGTGTTGTTATTGCAGTTTATATATAGTTGGTACTAACCAGAAATATGAGGTTACTGTAACAGCTGAATGAGCTATTATTTTTGGTATTAACGTAACGAGCTATCGGCTACCTATCGCGGGAACATATCCAGGTGTCACTGGAGTATCTCCCCCCTCTTGAATGAGATTCTGCTACCTCAATAAACCTCGGCTAGAGAGAGGTTCAGTTAGAGAAAACTGAAGTGTTTTGCTTGAGATCAATGGACAGTGAGCTGAGCAGTCCTCGAATTCAGACCGTCTCCCCGGAGTCTGGCGCGTTAGTCACCAGGCTATTGCGTTTCCAACTGTCATGTAGATCCTGATGAAGATTTCTTTGAAAGCGCACGAGGTTCCCGCTCAATTAATTAACGGCTTCGGCTGTGCGCGTTATTCTTAGAAGATAGAGTTAATGCTGATTTTTTTTCAAAGAAGGAAAAAGTTTCTCTATGGAAAGGAAGGCATAGAAAACCGCGTGAGCTTCTGTGTCATTCATAGGTGTTAAGTAAAGAAGCGGAAGTTCTAGAAAGCAGCAGGCATGTTATCATTTTATGGGAAGACAACTATTTCATTATTGAGGACTTTCAATTTGACAGTTCTATTTTATCATCGATGTGCGAAAGTGCTAAGTTGATATGTAAAATTGCATAGGATAAGAATTAGTATTATCACAAAAGGAAACGCGACAACATAAGAACAAACAGGAAGTTGGTTATGATGCAACTAATGAGTTAATGTGGGTTGCTACCATTTGATAGGTAGAGATTCTTTGATCTTCAATTATGAACTACTGGTAGCGTAATCAAAGATTCTGAAAAATCGTGAGAAGAGCGTCTGAGATTGCTGGGAATTTTGTAAATGTTATAGTATGAAAGAGGTCTGAAAGTTACTTAAGAGAAACCATTCGGTGTTTTTTCCAATCGCGTGCATCAACACCTAGTCAATGATCGGATCTGATCTGACCTGATCGCTAATTTAAACCGAAGATGACAGCGGAACAGTCGAAACTTGTCTTTAAAAAAAAATGTTGTCTCCTTTCTTAAAATTGAAAGAAAATAATGATTGTGCTCTCTAATTACTCTGAAGTGGCTTGCCACATCAGGAAAAGCTGCTCCAGATGCAATGCTGAGTTGCACATACTTCTACGGACTGATTTTTAGATCCGTAATTAATTTATAGTGATCATTTGACACGTGGAAAGTGCTATTTATGATAATTCTAAATTACAGCAAAAAACAATTAAAGGAAAGCAAAAGATTTACACATTCGTTTTCCCACGAGAGTTGAAAGAAAAACTGGTAATAAATAACAAGAGATGACTCATAAAAATCAGTTTAAGCACTGCAGAATATGGCCAGCAAAATTGTATTGTAAAACAAATAAGTGCTACAATATGAAAACAATAGCCTCTATTTTGAGCCGAAATATGCACGGGTATTGTCCGCGGACATTGTCTGTTCTAAGATGCGAGCAGTTTTCCTAGAGCTTCGCTCTCGGAAACTGTGCTCTTCGAGGAACAAGTAATATCCAAGGACAAATGTATAAGAATATTTTCGTGCAAAATAGAGAATATTGTGTGTATTATCTTTCAAATATTTTGCATCGTGGGTGAACAGACGAACAGCTTTTTTTTCATGGCGGGGGATGTTTTATTTGGAGTGTTCTCTGGTACGGCTCTATGAACAAGCAAATGCTTCCCTTGTTCTGTAACAATTATGAGACTCTCTCAACTTGAAATAAATTTGAAACGGAAACTTATCGTAATGGATATAAGGTTTGAAATTTGGGGAACATCACCCGGGAGATAGACAGTTTTAGCTGGGGAAAATTCTGTCACACGATGCGTTAGGACCAATCGTGTGCGAGCAAAAATATTTGATGGATTAATATATATGATAATGCTTCTTTTCAGTAAAAAAAATTATGATTATGATGATGATGATGATACTAATAATATGAATAATAATAATAATAATCATAAGAAAAAGAAGAAGAAGAGGAAGATTAAGAAGAATAGAGAGAGAAAAGAAGTTATTCATAACTTAGCTGTACTCTTAAACCTTTACTTCCAGAATTGATCAAAATTTATCTTCTTGCAATTTCATTAAGTCATCTTGTAAAAAAAAGTTTTGAGAGTAGACAAGCTTATCAGCCAGAGGGTGTTATTTTGGAATGAGACCAAATTCTCTTGTCTAATTTACAATGAAAAATTATAGCAGTAGATAGAGAAAATGTTAGGAGTTCAGTGGTTAATGAGGCAACTGAAACGCAAGAGAAGCGTAAGCCGGCTGAACTCAAGGAAACAGATTAAAAAACATTTTTGAAATTTGGACTAGAGTTTCTGTAACATTTTATCTGTTTAACAACCTGAAACAAATGAGTCGTCGAAAAAAAAAATTGATTAAATTTACGACTGATGGGTCATTACGAATTATTAGCACCATGGATAGGTGAAGTTATTTGAGTTTAATAAAGGCAAATAACGTATTCCGTAGTGGTGAAAAATGTTAATATAATGTTGAAGAGATGAAATTTTTCATTCACCATGCGGATAATAAAATCAGAAAAGTGTTTATTACAAAGGGGAGATGTACAGGTGAAAAGCGCATCACGCAGTGGTGAAAAATTTCAAAATACATCAAAAACTAAATGCCATTTCTAAGCATTACTTTGTCAGCTAAATTCACGACAATGAGTGGAATTTTCCTCGCTTACGATATATCCTACAGAGTTAAGTTACATTTGAACTGCTTGCCAGCTACGTGCCCACTCTTAGCAACAGTCAATATGATCCAATCAAAGGTGGACGGTGAAGCTGACAAGATTGTTATTTTTAAGAAACCACCCACATTGCAATTTAACCGAAGCAGACTGAATGTATTGATTGAAATCAGCTACATCCTACTTTTCTAGTTAAGACAGATGATTTTATCTCTTTAATACGCCAGAACATGCCCTGTACCTTTGGATAGTCAGACCACCGCAACAACAGGTAAAGTTTTCGTAGGGTTAAAGGAAACACTAGCGGAAAGGTG